CTGAAAGTTTTTTTGGGGTGAATTTGAGTAGCTCTTTATGCAGAAAAGTAGAATTTGCTGTGCTGGACCAAAGCAGTTGTCCACCTTTGGAGTATCTCAACTGTGGTAACACCAGGAACCAGGGGAAAAAATGTGAAAACACCTGTAGTGGACAAACTTATGTAATAGGATTAATGAGTAAATGACACAAAATATTTTAAAGCTCTTTACAATGTTTATTTAAAATTTGTAGTTCCTTGTTGGATTCCTGCCAGCATCCCCTTCAGTTGTCAGGTGATTAGGCATCTATTCAAGATAGTAATTATAATTTTTTAATGCTGTATTTTAGTCAAATAAAAGCCATAGTCAATGTGTTAGTAAGGCTAGCTCTTAAAATTGAAAAGGATATCTAGAGAAGCCTCAAGTGTTATAAACTAAATTTAGTATATAAAATACGATAACCATTTCGGGAAAAATACACATTAAAATTAGGAAACATTGTTTCCTGACAATAAAATTTAACAATACACAGTTCACTTATACAGCCATGATGACTGTTTTCAGTAGTTTTGTTTGTGACTAATTTCTTAAAAAAATAAACAGATGTGAAGTTTGTGGTGGGTGTTTGATAGGGGGAAATATTTCCTCTGGTGACTGTTGTAGTGCCTAGGGCCTGAAGCCTTTCAAAGACAAAAAGGGTCAAATAGGGTTGGGGAACATATAGATAACTGGGCGTGGTTATCAGTGGCTAAGTGTATGTATTTCTGTACATCTTCCTATCACCGAGTAGCATCTTACTCCTGGAGATTTACAGCTAGAATTGTATGAGAGGCCTATATGTAAACTGAGGAGAAGACAATCTCTTTCAGACTGACAGAAAAGAATCATAAATGTAAGTATTCTTCAAGGAAGGCATTGGAAAGATGTGGTGGCAAGTAAGAGTTGGTTTGAAGGAGTATCCTGACCCTTAGGGGGTCATAAATACCGTATCCTATTGATGCTGCACTTCTCTAAACTAGGTTGTGGGAACAAGTGCATTTGTCTGATAACATCGAATGCTGCTCCTCTTTTAAAGCCTTATCAATCTTGAAATGCATGCCCATTATTCTCTATGAATAGTTAAAAGAGTTGTGATCCATCAGCTTTTAAACTTCTTCAAGATTTCTGAGGAGGAAAAAAAAAAAAAAAAGCAGTACTGAACATCAGAACCTGTTAACTGCCTAAAACCAAAATACTGGCATGCATTGGTATCGTTATTTTAATATTTTAAGTACAAGAATTCTAATTCAAACCTTCTCTAATGGTTTTTAGTAGAAATTGTAAATACTTCAATGTCTTTCCTACTAAAAGGACATTTAGCTTAACCTATTTAAACAATGTCTTTCATATAAGTAAATAGGTAAGCTACGTTCATTCCTTGCATAGCTTTGATTGCCTACCATGATCTTCAGGAGATTTTTGTTAGAAGAAAAACTGATTGAATAACAGATTAAACTGAGTATTATGTACTTGCATAGCAGTGTTGGTTACTTAGGTAACGTCTGCTTTAAAATGCACTTAATTTCCTACAACCATAGCATTTTATGCAAAAATTTCAAATATATGAATACACTAATTTCATTGCTTAATTAATCCAGCAAACTCAGCGTTGTTGAGTGCTTTACTGCAGTATTTTAGGTGCTGAAACATTTCAGAGAAAAACAATTCCAAATATGTTGTGGTGAAATACATGAAGGTGAGTCTCCTGGGGAGCTGGTTTCCTAGCTACTGCTTGGTAGCTTTGTGATTAGGAAAAGGAGAGATTTGGTTTTTAAGCCTGTGACAGTGATTTCCTATGCTTTTGTTCTTCATGGTTGCATTTTGCTAAATGACATACCACTTAACACTACAAGAATTTGGAGATGAGAAAAGCCTACAGCTAAAAGCCTGGTAGTAACAATTCACATTGCATGCTGCTAACAGATCAAATGGAAAACAAAAATAAGTAACAATTCTTTTGAATTTGATTACTTTCTAATTAATACTTTTTCTTGCAGGTAATCTGCTGAAAGTAACAGGAAATTAATTCTAAGCCCTGGAGCTTGCAGAAAGTAGCACAGATGTGGATTTCTATATTATGTGTAATGCCAAAAATAGTGTAATCAAGGTCTTGTTTCGGATCCACAAAAAGTAGCACTAAGCATATTCTGTTGTCTTCTTGAATGATGCATAGTAGCATGGGAATAATAAAAATTAATACAAGCATGAGCAAACATGAATAAACTTGGGTTAGGCTGAGATGCTGAGTGCAGTGACATCAGCAGATGCCCACCCTATTGCTAACTATTTTGGGCAAAGTGCTGGAAGGAGACCAAGGCAGCCCAGGCTCTTCCTGCCTCTGCCAGAACTGATGGAACAGAGGCCATCAGAGCTGCACTGTACCAGTGTCTACTTTCTAAGTTTATTATGCTCCTGTTTGAAGGTAGAGCCACCATATTTTCCTTCTTTACCTGAAACTTTTTATTTTTCTGAGGGAGTATGGTGAATCTGCAACTGCCTTTGGCTATTTGATGTCTGGTATATGGCTTGGAGAGTCTGACTGAGTTTCCCCAGAGGTTTTGTGTTTAGTCCTTGGGGAGTGGTACCCAACTTTTGGCAAGAGGACTCAGCAGGATGCACAGCAGTTTCTGATCTGTGTGCTGAATGAGCTCCATGAGCCTCTCAAGAAGGTAAGAGTGCAGCTGGGATGTTTTCAGGGCTGTAGCTGTTTCCTCCTTACATTTTGTGGTTTAGCACTTCATGCAATAATAACCTATTCTCCTCTTACAAACTACAAGATGCAGTTGCTAAAATTGTCATATCCTTTGTTTCATACTCACATGCACACAATAATTCATTAGCTTCATCTAATGCTATGTCAAATTGCAGCCCCTCATCTTATGCTAATGCTGTCTGTAGCATCATCGTACTCACCTCTTCCTCTCCTTGCCCTTCTGTGCTTTAGTTCTTCCCCCTTTTCATCTGTCTAAAACCTGTTTGCTATGCCCCTATGTCTACTCAGTTCCTCTGATAAATGACTTTGCTAGCAATTAAATCATTCCTGCCCATATGTCCAGAATATTACACGTTTGTTTAATTTCTCCCGGAAAAGTAATTTAGCTTACTGCAAACATCAAGTAAAGTAATGGAACTTTAGAGCCAAGGTCGGGGACAAGACTGAATACTAGCCTACGTGGGCAGCAGCCAGCCAGTCTCTCGTAAAGCCCACCATTCCCTTTCACAGAAGTTAGTTTTAGCATTGCTTAAAAGAAGACATGGTAAACTGCAAGCAAAATCCTGTCACAGTGCGTCCTTTGTACCTGGCTTGGTGCTATGGAGGAAGTGAGCTAGAGGACAAAGACCTCCAAGCTGCTGGTAGCATGAGTTTTGTTGTAAAAGTGCTGGGAGGTTGGTTCCTATAACAAAGGGGGGGAAGAGGATTTTTGTAGGTAAGGTTGGGTAGGAAGGGTTTTTGTGGGTAAGGATAACATTGAATCTGAAGATTTAGAAAAACAAAAGCTGTGCAGCCAAGAATGAATCAGAACTCTTCCTTCCAACACAGACTTGTGTTTGATGTTATGTGCAAGTAGTAGCTGCTGGGATGACAGGATAACTACTGTGAGTCACGTAAGCATGGGTGTGTGCCTGTCTGCCCAGGGCCTCCGAGTTAATCTGTAGCTGGAAGGAGGTGCTGATAAATTGCACCAGATTTAAAGCTATTCAAATATCGGTTACATTTAGATTATCTCTTGAACAGTTATTTCTTTACAAATAAACCCGTTCTAAATATTATTTTTTTTTAGGGAAGAAAAACAAAACAAAACAAAAAAACTATAAAACCACCAGGATTTTGCAGTGGGTCCACCAAGACCTAATGCCCCCCTATTGAATTGCTAATGAGTGTGTCTCCTTCCCTTGCATTGCAGTAATGGACAGGGAACAGCTGAAGTCTTAGCAATATATAGCATATAAAACACTTAGCAAAATAGTATAGATACTATCGATACTATTTAAAAACAGCGCTACTGCCTATATACCCTTTTCAAAGAACCGCCAAGTATATGGCTAGAACTTCAAGGGTCCTAGCGTGCTGTAGATCAGTTGTTCATTCTCAGTGTCTTTTGCAGGTTTGATTGTCAAGCCACGTTGAACATTTGCTTCCATTCTAACCATTGAAAGTGTTGAAGGCACTTCTGAAACAGTTGGCTACCTACTTTTTTTTTTTGAGTTGTAACGGGATGAGGGAAATTTACTCCTTGGAGGGGGGGATGGGGGTACTGCTTGTCATGGCTGCAGCTAAGGCACTGTACTTTTGTTCATCCCTTAACTAAATCATTTCTAAATAAGCGGGTATACCATACAAAGCTGCAATTCAGTATAAGAGCTGCTGCTTGGCATACTTTACTCGCCATCTGTGGCTGATACCAAATTTATTATAAAGAATTTCTTATAATCAACTGCTCATATATTAAAAATAAAGTTTTAAAAATGTGAACTTTATATAACAGTTCTTAGAAGTTCAACCATCCCAGAATAATTTTTCTTTAATTTCCAATTTAGCACATGCTTTTCTTGACATGCTGAAAAAGAACTTGTGGCTTCTAGTTATAGCCTTTGGCTATATAAATACGGCTAGGTGATGGCCAAGTTATGGAAGTATGGTGTAGTACTAGAAGTTACAAAAGAAAGAGGGATAAAGCCTAGAAAGAAAGAAGAGTTGACAATGATAGTGCAGTCCAGAACATTTAGGACACATTGACAGCCATGCAGAGGCTTGGCTTTTGTCTGCTCTTAGCACCTGTGTCCATTTCTAACAGACAGAAGGATCAAGAAGCAAGGCCTTTCAAAAGGCAGCACTTGCAGGCACTGTATGTATGTTTTCTGTCAGTTGCCTGTAATACTCAACATTAACACAGATCTGTTTCAAGCCCAGGGTAGCCACTAGTCATTTTCCCTTCCCCTAGGAAAGCCAGTTAAGCAACCACCACAATAAAAGAAAGAAGTTTAAAATAGTTCAAAATTTTATTTCAGGTTTGAAGGGCAAGGTAACTACAAAAGGAAACTCTCAGCTGACATCTGCTATCCACTCAGCAATTTGGATCTCTCTCCAGAGTTCCCCACTTTTCCACAAGAACCCAGAGTACAGCTTGTGTGCTCTAGTGGTGAGCTTTGCCTTTCCAAACTTATTTGTCATGCCTTACCTAATGCAGACAAAGCAAGCCTGTGTTAGCTTAGACTTAATTACAGCAACAGTCTTCTCTGTTCCAGGCACTTAAAAATTCTGTGGTTTTAAAAAGCACACAAACATACATACAAAAAAAAAACAGCCAGCATCCCCCAACCTTCCCGATCTATCCATACTCTGTTCTGACTGCAAGTGCATCTCTTGAGCTGAAGTGCCTCCTGGACAAAGCCATCACTAACTGAACACAGTTTTCATCAGTAAGAAGCTGATACGTACGCACTCTAATGAAAAAAGGGCATTTGGTTTCCTGCCTCAAACAGTTTAGAACATGTGAGAGAGGATGGTCCCTCTTTGCTTGACTAACAGTCTATCAGTAACATGTCCATATATACACATACATATATATAAAACTATATAGAGAGTTGATTTTAGAATTATAATTTAGCTTAACATGTATAAGTAATGTTAAACCTATCATACATGGCTTCTGCTATTGTGCATTTCTCTCAATGGATGCAAGTTTTTCCTACAAATTTTAATTTTCTCCTGCCAGGGATATAATACAGTGACAGTATGTAACTGAACCAGAGAAGAGAAGTAACCACCTCTCTCTCTTTTCCCCTACTGCAGCCCAGTTTTAAAAAGCATGCACTCCTCATCACTAACACCTGGTTGCAGCCTTCAGCCTTTTCAGCAGATACTGCAAGGATCCTGGCCATAAACAAGGACTCAGTGGGCTCTTCCATTACTCTCTGCAAGTGTGGCCTGTATCAGAGCTAATAGCTAAGTTTAATATTGCAGAATAGAGATGCATAATCATCATCTATGAAGTGTCTGTTTGCTCTATTCTAAAGCATTTATTTGAATTCATATTCTGTTCTGTAGGCCAAAGGGGGCTAGAATCTTCTCACTCTCTTTTTCCAAATGCAAACAGAAAATGATTGCCAATTCCTAACTTTCTCTGTTAGGAGAGAGCGAGCCTTCTGTTCTAACAGACCGTGTTGTTCGTTACAGATACACTCTGTTTTTCTGGATGGTGGCCACTACACAGCATTCTGCAAGCACTCAGTCACCAAAAACTGGTACTGGATGATTCACAGATCACCAAGATCCCAAATTCCTCAGTGCAGACTGACAGAGCTTATCTCCTGTTCTACACCTGTCAGGCCTTTTCTGCACCCAAAGGAAGCAACAAGTCATGAAAAAACAACAGTGAGTACATCTGCAATTAGAATTCATTGGCAGAATCAGCTAAATTCTGTTTCATCAATAAACCAGAGTATTCATGCTACCTGATCTGCTTGTGGTATTGCAGAAAGTAATTTCTAGAGAGAGGGCTGGAGTTAGAGCTTCCAAGCCTGTTATGAAATGCACATCCACTGTGTCTAATGTTTGTTTTTCATGACAAACTTCATACATCCCTCAAAATATCAGAAATGCTGAGCATACAGATTTGCTTACCTGAAAATTCTTGTTTCTCTGTTGCTTATATATGCATGTAGACAGATAAAAACTCAGACTGATTCAAGATCTTTGAATGCCAACCCATTCAGGAAAGGAAAACTAACCCAAATCCAGACCAGGGAAATGCACAAGATTCAGCTAAAACAATTTCTAGACTAATTAGTTCTAGACAAAACAGTATTCTTTTCATCTGAAGAGCCTTTAAACCGTGTGAATATGATTTAGACTGTCGTTATGTAGAATTCTGACCATTACAGAACTAGTTGAGAATGAAAACAAACTCAAATATACACTTAATAGGATATATTTTTAAATCATTTCTTCATTAAGGTCTTTAATGCATGTATACATGAAAAATTTATATTAAAAAATTAAAAAGGAAAAATCTTGTTTGTTTAGAATAACTCTGATGTGCACAAATATTGACCAAAGCTAACAAAAAAAAAAATACAGCTCTGCCTTTTTTATTAAATAGTGTTGCAATTACTTAGAGCTGGCAAAGAAAAGCAATCCTCTGATTTTTAGAGTTTCTCACAAAAAGGACAACATTTTATTATATACATAGTTCTGATGTGCAAGTATGCAATCAATATGTACACTTACATTCCTAACTGTTTACATCGTTCTAGAGTATTCACAGTAGAATCAAGCTTAAGGTTAGAAATGTGAAAAGGCCATAATAGTGAAAGAAAAAGATAAAAATAAAGATATGCCTTGGGATTTTAAGACATTTTAAACTACTTGTTAATAGATTTCAGATGACTAAGCTAGAATTCAATTTTGGAGCAGACTAAAAATATAGTTGTTTGTTAAATAAATGGTAACGCAAGTATGCTTTTAAATGGTTTCACAGATGGCAGTATTACCACAAGCATTATTAATCAGTCTGATTTAAGCAAGAGTACTGACCAGAAAGAGCTTGCTTGCAGAGAAGCTGCTGCAACCATCCCCGTAACTTTAAGTGACTACATTTGTCATAGTTTTGCATATTTATGCGCCTTCCAATACCTACTTTGCTCTTATAAAAAGAAAACCAGTTTTCTTAACCCATGCTACTTTATGTGGCCATGTCCACTGCTCGCTGTTCATAAGAACTGTAAAAGAGAATATATGCAGCTGAGGATTTCACAGATGATGATGAGATCTCAGACACTTCATGGTCATCAAACTTAAACCAGCGCTGTTTTGAGGCATTTTTGCAGTAGGCGGTATAGTGCCCTCCATCCAACCCACCATAATGATTCTGTGAACAGAAGAAAAGAATTAATGACCTTGAAAGTTGCCACTTCTTACCTGGTTAAGGAAAATAACCTAGAATGTGAGATTTTTAACTAAACACTGATCATTCTTTTTAGAACACAGATCATCTACAAACAGGTAGGCAGCCTGGAAACCCAGATGAATTACACAGACTGCCACAAGTCTTAGAATAAAGATTAGCTAGCTTTGAAACGTGACATGGTTACTTACTGATACTGAAAATAGATTGTATCTCTTCAAGTTATTCTTTGGACCAATAACATACTGTGAAAGGTCAAGAGTTTCCAATGGGAAATCTACAGAGGTCTGAAGTTTTTGCTTCCATCTTCCATCATAGGAAAATCTAGAGATGAAAAAGCATTGTTTTAAGTTACAAGTCATTTGTATGCTATTTAAGAATATTAAGCCATGTTTGGTTTCTCTGTTTTTAACCCATACGTGGTCTCAACTAAAGACTGAACTGTTTCAAAAACGGCATGTGGCTCCGACTCTGTTAATGCTTGCACACATGCTTCTTAGCAAGAATGAAGAGAGGCTGCTTGTAGAAGTGCTTCGTAAACTACAGCCTAGTAAAGCAGACATCAGGTGAAAATGAAATTTTTGCAATATTACAAGTGGAATTACATCTGGAACTTTCTCTAATTAAAAATTGTTAGTTACTGCACTAGAACAATCAATCTGCATGAATGCCTGGTCACCCTAATTAGTTTTCATAGATCATTATTTCACTTACCGTTTCAAGTGCACTAGAAGAACAGGTGGTAATTTCCAAATTTCTATTTTTTTCAAAGAATCCCTTCGAGTTTTGCAATGGCTACAGTAAAATCTATTATTGTCAGTGAGCTTTTCTTCTTTGGAGAACAATCTAAGGCATTCCTTAAAGCAAAACATAAATACGGATTGTGAACAGCAGATGTTTAGGGTAGTGTACCAAAAATGTTTATTTCTTATTTGCTTGTTAACTTGCAACAGTAATCTACATGCCATGTTTCACAAATATAGGGAAAACCGAGTTGCATCCAAGTGTAGAAGTAAATTGTAAATTTTACTGCATATATTAGTTATCTGCAAGTATTTCAAACTGTACTGACAACATTTTTTAAAAACACAACATTTATACTGTGGCATACAGAAACAAATACTAGACATGTCTTTTCTGTCACTGTGGCTTCAATATTCCATCCTGCTTGTATTTTAAAACTGTTAAGAAGGGATCTAATTTTTTAAATTCTAGAAGAATTAGAAAAAATAGCAGGCTTGGGTCTGTTCATGTTTCAAGTTAGTGTAAGCTGGAACACTGATGAACTCCTTCAACAAGAGGCTGAACAAAGAAACCCAGAATGGCTGAGGTTGGAAGGGACTGCTGGAGGGCATCAGGTCCAAACCCCCACCAGTTGTCCAGGACAGTGTCCTGGAACCACAGCCACTCTGGACAGCCTGTTTCAGCAGAAGTAGCATCATAAGTCACAAAGACAAATGTTTTTACTGTTTCAAAAATTGTTTTTCTCTAGTGCCACCTTACCTGCAGTGTACATTTACTAGTGGATGCAAGTGGTAGTGACAAATACATGAAAGCCTCAAAGGTCCGGGACTTCTTGTGGCATGTGAGACACTGCACTGTAGATTTGAACTGGCCTTGAAAGAGTGCCACGATGATGGATTCATTGAGCTGTTTGTGTTTCTGCCAGGCTAGTTCTGCTGCTCTGAGGTCATCAAGATGATCATTATTTTCTTCCTTGTATCTTTTCCTGTTGTCAGCCTGTATAACAGAAGTTTGAATACCTTAGCTGTTACCTTAGCTGTATATTTACATATGTATAAATAGGAATTTTAATCTATAGGCAACTATACTACTGAATATTGGCAAGTATATTTGAACATGCCAGCATAGCCACCCGTTTCCTAGCTGTTTAGTTGTCTTCCACCATTCCCTTCAGTACCTTATAAAGGCTGATTTTGTAACAGTAGAATTCTGAATACTTGGATTTCCTTCTATACAAAGTTTCAGTAACACAAGCAGCACTACATGTCCACTGTAAACTAGTTTAGATTATAAACAACTTCTGCTTCAGGACTGATTTCTTGCAAAAGTCATGTGCTATACCAATAATAGTTCTGGAACTTGTCTAAAGTACCTACCCTGCCCATGAAGACTCACACTAGTTTAATACGTCCCCCACCACCCACAAGTTGTCCACAGTGATGAAAAGTACAAGGCAATGACAGCATTTTCCCAAAAGTTATTACTACTTGAACAACTCTCCGCATTCTGACAGAGAAGATATACATACAGTAACTGAGATTTGAGGTTTAAAAGCAGTAAGGTAAAGTAAAGAGTACTTAAGAAAACCTGCTTCACCACAGAGTTTCTTTCATGCTATCACAATCTTGAGGTGGAAAAATGTGTAAGGTTATGGCACAAAACTCACTTCTCCTAGCAAGCTTCTCTTACTCTTAGCAGACTCTTGAGGAACAAATAAAAAAGTCTGCAGACACCAATCGTTCAGCAGTCTCCAGGCTGAAAACATTTAGCAGACATCCTCCAGATACGAGGCACATGTTTCAGTCCTTGCTGGAGCCTGAATTCCTACAGGTGAATAGGCTGAGGTACCAGTACGTGAGTATCATTAAAAAAAATCATTAAAGGCTGTCTCCACCTCAGCCCAGATAACCGAAAGTAAATTTCTACTTTCTCTTTGCCTATTTGTGTCTTTATTCCCTAAACCACAGAATCTTTGGGCACAGACTCTCCAACTACATGGCCTGAAGCAGCTACAAAAGCTAGACTCTGCAAGGGATGTTTGAAGATACACAGGAGGTGCTGAATTATATAGACCTCAGGATCTTCTACGTAACAAGAATATAAGAAAAGCAAGCCATTTTGATAATTCTAGGGCTTCCCAAACAAAGGGATATCACAGAAATGTGACTTTGTCTCCACACAGCTGTGGGGAGCTGAATTCAGCACAAATGCTTACTCAACCCTACCCAGAAGCTGTTTTAAATAAAAGTTTGTCCATTTGCCTTGGCACAAAGCTTTGTTACTTAAATCTTCTTAAGAACTATGAGATATGAGAAAAATTATTTCTCTTGATCGTTTAACAGATGTGTATTTTGTAACATGTATTGCTTACTTTATTTAAGTCTTCGTGCAAGCCATCCATTAGAAAGAGAAGCAATTCTTGGGAGTCTTGCTGGCTGTATCCTGCAAATTGGTCATTAATCTTCCCAATTGTAATTTTGAAGTCTTTTGGACTGATATATTTATACTGTCCTGTCCATAAAGCTTTCATTATTACTCCAAACTCTTCAGCCACTTCACCTTTATGCCCCAAGAAATTTGACCTATACAATTAAACAGACAAAATATGTTTTTATATATACACAAATATATGCTACATAGATATAAATGTATTTTATATATATAGTGAGCTATTCAATTAAGATTTATTATTAATTCAAGGACTTTCTCCCAATTCTGAAGTAATTTCTTTAGACCAAGCAAAAATGGTTGCGAGTTTGAGTTAAAACTTTTGTATACTTTGGCATTATAATTTGGTTCCACAATCAAAATTGGTCTGATGGAAGGTACAGTTATTTCCAGCTTGTTTTGCAAACTGCTACTTAAATATTGTTTGTTTTTAAGAGATTGTAGTACACTTATTTATGAACGTGCTAAAGCACAATTCAAGATTGTCTGGTAATGCTTATTTCGTCCCATATCTAAACTCTGGAAAATCTCAAAAGATTTAGAAGTTAATATTTCTCTTATTTAAAAGAATTAAACAACAAAAAATCTTTAGCTCTATTAAGAGACTTTTTTAATTAACAAAGGTAAAGTCAGATTTTTTTACTTTCACTTGAAATTAAAGGATAAAAATAAGATATTGTTACCTGTTAATATCATCTTGATACAAGTTTCTGTTAAAATACTCAGCCAGGTGAGGTGCATTGCACAGACACTGTAATATGGAATTCATATAGCAAGTGTTCCCTAGATTACGAAGTCCTGTAAGAGCTGGTCCCGATCCCCCAAACACAGGATTAAGATTCCTAATTTGTGATGCAGAGAGTCTTGAAATTTCTGCTTTAGTGTAATAGATTGGTCTGTAAGGAAGAAATTATTTTATTTCTTTTTAAGCAGTCTCAGCCTTGACAAGTCTGTGCACATAACCTAAGAAAATCACCTTCCCCCCCAGAAAATGAAATATCCTGGCACAAGAGGCTACCAAATACAAATAATTTAATGTATTCAAGATCAGTGGAATAGTGAAAAATCTATATATACTGGCCTATAATCAGACTGATTTATAGGCTAAATCAGTATTTATTTTTTTAATTTACAGATGAAGAATTAGTTGTTTATTTACCTCAGTTTAAAAATTGAAAACTGTATTTCAGAAGCTAACAAGACAATTAGCGTCTTCTATGTTAACACAAATAATACCAACACTTAAAAAGCAACTGTTGTCCAATTACACTGACCTCTGAAATTTCCATTAATATTTAATAATCACATTAATTCTCGAAAACATAACTGCCAATACATTAGATGTAGAGCAATGAAATTTAGGTCTATCAAAAAAAATCCTCTTGCATCCTTTGAAAATACTTATAAAATAATGAATTTCAGTTGGCTAAGGACAAATGAAGTCCTATATGCTATCATATTTCGTAAGTTGTGATATAACTTATCGAACATACTTATTTTCACGATTAACTGCAGGAGTTACAGGAATTCTTTTCTTCTCTTCCTCCTGAATGGCTTGGGTTATATCTGGGGAAGAGTAGGAGCGCTTCAGTTTGGAGTGTTCCCGTTCTCGTTCAATAGTCACCTGCGGCTTGGGTTTATGCGTTGGTGGGGTAGCTGGAGGAGTGGATGAAGGAGCCATTTCTGGTGGGTACATATGAACAGTGTTTGTTGGCGAGTGATAGTAACGAAAGGTTCCAGTGATTGGATCCAGAAACTTAGGGAGGAAAAAAGAAGTGTTTTAGAGTCAGGTAAAAATCATCATTAGCCTTAACTACTCTAGCAATACATGAGTTTCTCAAGCAATGAGTTGTTAACAGTAGTTATTGACCTCAATATGTAATGGATTAAGTTTAGTGGAAGGTACCACCTTCACCAAAATGCATATAAAGCAGCTGGTTAGCCCCAGAAGCAGATGAGCTCCCCTAGTTTCATTACAAATAATATTAAAATTCAGGAAGTACCTGTGTGTGAAAGTTGGGAGAGACAAAAATAAAACGAGATCTGACTTAGCAATATGACAGAACTGAAATGCACTGTGAAACTGCACAAGAAACTCGATAATAACATCAGAAATAGAAAATAATATCAAAAACACGAGATTACCTTTACCCAACCCAGAGGCAGTCCTGGTATTATCCTTCCCATTTCTTCACTTCGTGCTCTCATCAATGGCTCCCGCTGAGACTAATAAATACAGTGGAAATGTGAGGTATGTATGGTTACTTATGAAGAGCAGCAAGCTGTCTGTGACTTCCCTATGCAGTTACATGTTTTAATGCAAAACAGTTCAATAAGAAATCCTTGATTATAGCTGGAAATGGAACTTACTGGAGGATGCAAAAATGGTAACATAGTAATACTATTTTGTATTACTCTAAACAAAATTTATTTGTCAACATGCTCCGGGGAAAAAAAGAAAAAAAAAAGGACAATTCAGTCTCACTAGTCTGACTATTCCATTCTTTCCCTAAAGAAGCCACTTTATTAAAAATAAATGCCTCTGTTAGACACATAGGGATGATCTTTTTTCCCTTCCAAAGTAGTATGCAATGGAATACACGAGATGATGACCAAGAATGGAAGACTTGTTAATGCATTAAGAGTGAAAAAGTTCTAGTGAAACTTTCAAGTATTTATTTGCAGATGAATGGGACAAATGGAAAAAGCACACAAACAGCTATAAAAATGGCACAGTCTTTTCTTAGGATTATGACTTTAAAAAATAAAGTTAGGTGGAATTTAACATGAGATAATCATAAAGCATCTGTGCTTGATTGATTTTTAGCTACATACAACACATTGTATTTACTTTAAGTCTTTCAGTATCTTGATCAGAATCCTCTCTAAGGGGTCCTGGCTTTTGAGCTCCACTGTCTGGTTGTCCTTTAACCCCAGTTTGCTGTAAAAGATTTTGAGAGAAGGCTTTGAATTTTCATCTGCAACTGTTAGTAAAGGTAGCTGATAAAGAATAGTAGGGAAGGAGGTTTTTTTTTTTTTTTTTGTCGTTGAATGCAAGTGCCTTGAAGTCACTACTGCAGCTATTTACACATGACTTTTTTCAGCTATGCAGCAATTTGTTGGAATAGCCTTTGTAACTGAATGTTGTGTTATACAGGATGGACTTAATAGTTTCAAGATCTCAGAAATCAGAAATAAAGTCTCAAAATAATAGATTAGAGTATTGCTTTGCTTCTTACACTAGTCAAGCAAAACCCTGTTATATCAGTGTTTATGCAGCTGGGGACGTGCTACGAAGTTTATTATGATGCTGTGATTCCGTCCGTAGTGTTTGTTACAACAGTACAGCATATATTTTGGGCTGGTATGAGAGATAGAGGCATGGCAGCATTTTATAGTTGAAACTGAAGATGGCAGACCATGAACCATCCAGCTCTGCCTTCACGCCAATGGTGATTTTTATTATCTTATGGGAACTACACGTTCCCTACCTGCAAACAAGAATCAAGCCAGTCTAAGCTGCCCTATAACACCACACATATCTTGGTTTTAACTTTCTCCCCTACATCTATGTAAAAACAGCAGGTCTAAACAAGATTCCCAGTGAAGTACATATTTAGAAATTAGACTGATACCATCTCACTTCAGGAGGCACCCAAATGATCCTGAATACCCCACGCTCCCGTTTTCACTAACCTTGCCTGGAACAGACACAGAAGTCTGAGATGCATCACCCAGCACACGTCTCTGCATATCTGGTGTTCGAGCTCCCTTTTCTCTTTCTTCCACAGATACTTTGTCAATCTCCATCCTTTTTGCACCGATGTTTTCTGGTTCATTTTTATTTTGCTTTTTTGCTTCTATTGTCTCTTTGCGCACTCTTTCCTTTTCCTCCTGTTCTCTTTTTATTTGGTCATCTCTCTCCTTCTGTTCTCTTTCCTCTTTGGATTGCTGCAGCTTTTCTTTGTGTTCCTTTTCTCTCTGTTCTTCCTTTGCTTTCTGCTCTTGTTCTTCTTTTTCTCGCTTGAGTCTTTCTTTTTGTTCTTCTTGTTGTCTCTCCCGCAATTCTTTTTCTCTTTTGTTTTTCTCTAACAGGGCAGCAGTTTCTGCATGTATATGACTTTTTTCTTCTTCTGTCAGGGTGCTCTTTACATCACGTACAGGTTTTGTGGACCGATCTGGAACTATTTGTCCATTCTCAATAGGCTGGCTGTCACTGAGTGTGCTTTCAGATTTTGGTCTGTTATCATCAGGAATTTTTATTGTAGGCTTTTTAGTGCGATCAACCTGTAACAGAAAGCACAGAATAACTCACTAAAGCTACTAGCACTCTGCTAGCTAAACTTCTTCTAAGAAAGAATTATAAAAGCATGAAGATCATATAAAATTGATTTCTATCAGATAGCCAACTTTCCATTTCAGTAAATCTGGTAATTCAAATTGGTCATTAACTAAATATTCATTTAACTTCCAGATGTGAGATAACAATCAACAACCCTTACAGAACCATAAGGACAGCATTAAACACACATTACTACAACTTGGGTCTTTATTTTCAAGCTTTCAAAGGTGAACATGTTAAAGTAATCAGGCAGCCAAATTTGGGCTTGGCTCTCAATCACATGCTCTGTCATCTGATTAAGGCAGATCTGCTTGATGGGAAGAGGTATTTAAGAATGATTTCTGCTCAGACCTAGGAGAGCAGGTTGGTTTTGATGCTGAAATAGAAGTTCTATAAAAACAAAGGGAAGAAAATAAGTACGGTCTTTTTCATAGCTTAGGGTCCATTAGATGAAAATCTGTATTAAAGGAAGTATCTAAAAAAGGTAAGGAAAAAAGAGCTGTACATTTTTAGCCTTATCTTCCAAAGAAAACAAGTCATTTTAGTGCATGGACTCTACAAAGGTGTTCTAGAATTTTTTTTCCTCTGAAGAAGAAACAAGACCCCATACTTTCACTACTGGACCACAAGTGAAAAGCCTCCAAAGTGTATTTTTTTATTTGAAGGAAGATACGGTGGCTGGAAAGCAGAGCTTTGGAAGAGCAAAGGTAAGTCATAACTTATTGCCCTCACTATTTCATCATATGTATGTACTGATTAGAAAAGGTTGCTAATAGACTTTCTGAATTAATAAGCAATTGCTGACTTTCAACTTCTCTGGCATTTCCATCAAAATCCTCAATGAAAACTCAGCAATTATGTCAAGTGTATTCAGTTTCATAAAGTTCTGTGGATTATTTACCATGGCTTCACAGACCACCAATAGTCTCTGTACCAATGTAGTTGTGTACAGGGCTTAAACAAATACTGAGAACATACCTCTGTGGAAGTCTGCATGTGGTGGGTCTCTAGTACGTTAACCCTATGCTAAATCTGAAACAAAGAAAACACAACTTACCTCAGGGATACTTCTTGTACTAGATACGGGATTGACTACAAATGAACTGTCAGGTTTTGGAACAGCAGCACCCTCTACGCTTGGTCTGTTAAGTGATTTTAGTCTCTCTTCCAAATTAGCTTCTGTTTCTTCATTTTCAATCCCTTCGGTTGGAGAAGGCTTTATAGTGGCAACAGGTGGAACAGGAGCTGGTTCTTCCAAAGATGGATATGTAAAATCCACTGGGGGTAGGAGAGGAAAAAAACATGGGAAAGCTCTTACGACAAAACCAAAATGACCCTCAAGTTCCACCAGACCCTAAAATCTAGCCGTGTTCTGAGCTACATCTCCATCTCTCTCACATGTACTTGAATGAAGTTACGTCCAGTAATTAGAAACACTAGGGAGAAAGAGAGTCTCCATTATACTTACAGGAAACAGTTACTGCTTCAATCTTGCTATGCTGAGGTGGAGTTACTTTAGCATTTGTTGTATACTGGGGAAAACAAAGGAGCCAGTTTTCATAACCTCCTTCTAGAACTAAAGGTTCATTCTTCAGTAGAGTTTTGCTTTCCCACTAGAAAAAAAGGAAAAAAAATAAAGTTAAGTGACTTAAACATAGTGAGGAAATGTTTCAGTCTTAACCTTGTTGAAATTTCTGTTTCTGGTCATTATACTAAGAGGTTATTTTTGAGATTTTAAAATAAGAATTAAACAGGCTGTAAAAACACTTCAGGGAACAGGGTTTGGAGAATGCCAAACACATGAGGAGGTTCATACCTGTAACTACAGCAGGGTCTGAATATTTCCAGTACAGAAAGAACCACTTATTACTTGTTCAGGTAACAATCCTCCATGCAGAAAGATACTTTATTTGGTTTCTTATCAGGTAAATTTACTGAGCAATTATCATAAAATCATAGAACGGGTAGGGTTGGAAGGGACCTAAAGACCATCTAGTTCCAATTCCCCTCCTTCAGGCCACTAGATTAGGTTGCCCACGGCCTCGTCCAACCTGGTCTCAAACACATCCAGGGATGGGGCATCCACAACTCCTCTGGGAAACCTATTCCAGTGCCTCACCACCCTCTGAGTGAAGAATTTCCTCCTAAACTCTGATCTAAATCTCCCCTCTTTTAGTTTAAAACCATTCCCCCTCATCCTATCATTATCTGCCCAAGCAAAAAGTTCTCTCTGTCTTTTGTAAGTCCCCTTATAGTATTGAAAAGTTGCAATGACATCACCCCAGAGCCTTCAGGCTGAGCATCCCCAGCCCTCTCAGCCTGTCTTCGTAGGAGAGGTGCTCCAGCCCTCTGATCATCTTTGTAACTAGGGCTGTTGGCTTTGGAAAGTATAATAACATTAACTAGAACATGAACAGAAGTTCAGAGACTATTCTGTAATGCAATAAACGGAGAGAACTGCCTGAACTAGTCTCTGAACCCCAGTATTGAATAGTGCAGTCTCTCACACGTGCAGTCTCTCACAAGAGCCACCTTTATAAAGAGTAGGGACAACACAGCTATAGCCAGAATTCTGACTTTTAAATGTTACGCAACTCAATATTGAGTCTATTAGCTCCTTCCAAAGATGAGGCTCAAACTTAAATTCATGTTTTTCCAGAACTGATATTTAATAAAGTACAAAAGTTAACAGTTTTCAAGTTATTTCTGGTGTCTCTTTTACCTTGATTCTTCCATTCTAGAAAGTGTTGGCTTGATAGGACTGCAGAGAAGTTAGCTTTTTTCAACCTGCCTATGCAGGTGGCTGGCCAGTTCCCATAAATGTGGACTTAGTTGTCTCATGCTTTCACGTATTAGCAATGACTCTGGCAAACAGTACTAAGTACTTTCTCAAACAACTCTGTCAGCCAAGAACTTTTTATGACAAACAAGTTTATGAGCTAGCTGTTGAGGACGGCAGTTGAATCATTCTACTATTTACTTATTTAATGAGTTACTTTCCACTACTACAGCACAAGCAGGGGAAAGTGAAGCTTCAGACTATATTTCTGCTATCAAAATAAGCAGTCTTTGAAAACTAAACCGAAGTGTTTATCCAGCATATCATTGTCTTCCACATACTTTGTAATTATACATACTTTAAGACCACCTTACTTATTGAGATGAAATAATATAAAATGTGGAACTTGCCAACCTTAAAAAGCGCATCTTTCAGGCTCTGAAGAGTTGTTCCTAGCTTTACGTCTTCTGCAGAACTAAACCAGTCCAAGAGTATAACATAATCAAAGTGTCCTCTCCTCTTCCATTGATCTCTAGAATCTTCTGGGAGTCTAGCTTCAATCCAGCTAGCAGTAACTCTGAAATGTATTAACATGCACTTAAATGTACAAGTAACACTTAGCCCAACAATATATGGTCCAACCTATACATGCTTACGTGCTTGGATAAAATACACAAGCTCTGACTTGAAGGCAGTACATACAAAAACAGAGCTATCCAGATGCATTTCACCAATTTGTATGTACCAGAGACTCTAAAACCAAATGTACAAGTTGTAAAAGCATATGACCCTTCTAATGCATTCTTTTTTTTAGTCACTTTATAGAGGGAATGCCAGTAAGACAGTACTTCAAAGAAATCAAACATTTCACTACCATTTAACATTATTCCATACCCAGCACTGATAGCTTCTTCTGGGACGCTGATAGATCTTGGAATACAGGATTCCTGATAATCCTTTGAGCTTCGAGCATCCATTATAATCAATTCAATGCTTTTGTCCGTCATCATTGCAAACAGTTTCTCAGCTGTGACTGCTCCTTGAAATAAAATGACAGAACAGAAAAGTGTACAGAATACATTCATACATATATATATATATATATATATCCTTCCCACAAAGTCATGGAGCTGAGACACTGTGGAACAGATTGGCTCTTTTGCTCCCGCTACTATAATGATTAGCAGCTGATCTGCTAAATTAGACAATACTGGATACTTCAGTGATAAATTAGTTGATTTTTCATGGTCTCATTTAACTTAAGCTATATAGGCAAGCACTTGTGAACTACATGCTGCAGATGTTCTCTAGAGTTCTCAGCTGAAGAGGAACATTTTCATGTTTATTACAAGAACAAAAAACAAGGCTGGAGTGGCAAGGGGAAATTTCTTATTTAATTGAGAAAGTCGACACATTTCAGCCTTGTCTAGACATTTTTCTTAACAGTTGAGAAGACATTTTTCTTTCTATTTGACCACTCTGGGGTTAGTCCAGCTTTAGTAACTAAAGTTTTGAAAAACTTAGAACAGCTTTCTAAGTTCAAGGGACATGATGAAGGCTTAAATACAGAGCTTTACTACTAAGTTGCTATTGTTGAAAGAACGCATACCAAAGTTTCATTGAAATACTTTGACTGTGAAGTAACTGTTTAAAGAACTGCAGCTGTCAAAATGATAGGTGCATAAGCATATGGAGACTTTTTTCACACCTGCGTGAACATTGCATCTCTTACCACTCAGACTTTCAGACTGATCCCTTCTTTCCAGTGAATGCTTGCTCTCACCATTAATCTGTGTTGCAGGAAGGGGAAAAAGAAAAAGCTAGTTAATTTAGGAAGACACCAAGGTTGCTGCTCTACCTAGACAGAAAGCAGTTAAAAAGGCAATACAACCTGCAGCATCATCTGCTGGGTGAAATTCATGAAGCACTTGTGGAAAAAATTTCTTTTTCCCCACATTATTGCTAATTAGTCAGCTCTCTCCTAAAAAGGAGTCATGTAACAAATTCATTATCATGATTCTTAGACTGAATTGAGAATTCAGAAACATCTTTAATTACCTTTTGGCTTTTTCCTTTGGAATCTGCTGTACTTTCTGATGAGCTTTTGGCTGAACTCTTTCCATCATCTTTTGGTTCTTGCTTTTTCTGCAGCTCCTGTCTGTCCCTCTCTTCGAGTCTCTTCCGAACTTCAGCTTCTTCATATCTATGGAAAACATATTTCCCCACAACCAATATTATATAATCAGCTAGCCTTGGATAATTAGCACCAGAACTATCAAGTCAAGGGAAGGGTGGGGGTGGCCATGAAACAGGAAGTATTTAAAGAAAATCCTCCCCAACATCCCCTCACTGCATCAAAGCCCACTTTCCTCCTTGATACAATTTATTTCATTCTTAAATCCTGCTTTGGCTCTTATTTCATAGCCACTGCTCTTAAGGGTTTATTATTTTTTTTCTCTTTAAACCTGAGGTCATGCTTAGCTATGGTGTCACCAAAGATAATAGGTTCTTCATTTCACAGAAACAAGAGTAAGTACTGGTCTTACAGTCTTACTTAAGTCTTGCAGATAAACTTCAACTTACTATAACAATCACCCAGGGCATTTTATTTGGTTTTGCAACAGTCTTAATAATAGTTAAAAATGAGTTAGCTCAGTTCTCTTAAGTGCCTTTTTCTGAGAAGTTGGGTCACAACTACCAATACAGTAGCAGTCACCTTTAGGATGTAAGCTGACTTTATAACACTGTTACATCCTCACCACTGCCCCTGCTGCTTATTTCACAGTGCAACTACAGTGAAGTCAATGCAAGAATCCTGTGTACTCAAAACTTTTTGTGCATGTAAGTCTTGCATACAGATGTCCCTTTCATAACGACTCAGCCTTTAAAGTTAACCTTCCAGCCCTCTGCCATTTTAAGGACAATCATGATATTGTAAACCAGTAGCCTCCAAACTACAGCTCTTAGATCACCAGCTGCAGGGTTGTACAGTCACATTGCTGCCACATTGCACTCTAGTTAATAGAACTGAGAAGATAACAGTTATTAGTGATCCACAAAGCAAAAAATTATGTAAAAAAAAAAAAAAGTTATATAAAAAAAACATTTTGAATTAACAATATTGATGACTGAGCCAAGTAGTGAGGCTTGGACACTGAATTGAATTAGTAATTGTCATTTTAATTATATGTTGACTAATCAGGACTAAAATGACAACTACTATGCAGTTTTATTTCATACTAAGAGCCCTGTGTTAATGAACTATATCATGGCATTGGATTCTGCCTCAAACTCCACTCCACCAATAGGAAGCAGGCAGCGAGTGTAATTCTATTTCTTAAATAGGCTTCTTGACTTGGCAAAGACATCATAAATTAGAACAGAGCATTCTGTTCTTATTTGGAGTTAATGGTACAAAAATATATTTAAGATTTTCATTGAATTTGGTCAATATGGAATATTTACCCAGCAATTTCCCATTTACCTACTGGTATGCCTTTGAAGCACATACTAGCTCATTCATGTAAGTATTCCTAAGCCTATACAAATGACGTTTCAGCAGCTCCACTTTTGGTTAATTATTAACTGTTAAACTATTTGCTGGCCTATTGCCTAGAAGAGGAGTTGTACAATAACAATTTCTATAAAACCACTTCTGTAGTTACACAGGAGTCATGTTTCATTTAATCTCCCTTTAAATACACATACATTTTGTGCAGAGTAGTTGAAAGTTACTTTGTCAAATTTCAAAACTCAGTTCATTACATGATAAACCATAAGTTACTAAACAATAAGTCTCTAAATAACTTTAGTTTTCTATAGCTCTATCAAAGTTTAGCCTTAAAGTGAATTTGTAGCTCTTCTGAATTGTAAGACAATTAAAAACAGGGAAGATTTAAAGACTGTTTAATGTATAGTATCATCAAGCATCCTTAGTATATCTCTTTTCATATATATGTAGCTATTTTCTTCTCTGTTCACCTAAACTGACTTTTTAGATTAAGCACTACAAAAGGCATAGAAGAAGCTTTTAGAGTAATTCTGGTGGGGCCTGGGGAAGGGAAATGTGCATAACAGAGGAGACAGAGTTGAAAGGGTGGGAAGGGAGAGACAGGCAGTTGCTGAGAATGTGAAAAGCAAAAAAGGCTGCTAGAAGCAAGACAAACTGTACTAACTACCATGTAAAGACAGAGCCTATCTTACAACATACTGACACGATTTCATGGCTTATGGCACAAAGACTTGTAACTCAGCAACTGTAAATGAGCTAACGAAAGCCCCTTAGCATCAGCTCAGTTCCATACTAGCAAAACTGCATTTCCATAAACGTGTCTGCAAGTGGTAGAAGTGAAGAAAAGGTGTAGCAGCTAGCTAAAGAATAAAAAAACGCCTTTAGAAACGTGTTTTGTTAGTGTAAACCAAGTCCCAATTAGGAGGGCTCGTTAACATGGAAATATTAGTAATGTGCATTAGTACGTTTGGCCTCAGGTGACCTTATGATGAAAAGCGTGGGGAGGAAATGGCTCCTGATCACTTCTGGAGTACATATAGCTTATATTATCTGGTGGTTTCTTCCTATCAGTCATTGAACAAACCAAATCATAGTCTCGAAGAACTGAGAAAATGAACAGTGGCAAGCTACTGGAATAAATGATGACAAAAATAAGCTACAAAAGCAGGCTCTTGTGGGTACATATTTTAAGTTCAAGAATTTCAGCTATCTAAATGGTACTGCAAGCACAATCCTTTACTGCTATACAGCATGAACACCTGCAACTGCACGCATACTGGCTTCATGTATAACTAACCATATTATATGTTCATTGTATTCACATACCTGAGTTTAAGGCTGTCTGAGAGTCTTTCAGCTTCTTCAACAGCTTTTTTTAAATTTGTAGGTCCAAGAATTGAATGGAAATAATCCTAAAATTACAAGCATCAGCCCACATATTAATGGTACAGCTTAATAATGCTGATTTCTATGCATATAAAGAACAGCTACCCTACAGAAAATTGGTATTATAGTGGTAATAATGCCAAAAAAAAAGAGACTGTTTTGAGTTGTTTTCCCCTCAAACATGAATTTGTAAGTAAAATTGTTCTATGGCCTTAACAAATAGGCAAGGCAACTCTGTTTGTTACCACATGGTTCTAGTTGCAAGACTGAAGCTAAAAGCACATTTGTCCATTTTCAGTAAAGTAGGCTTGAATTGAATAAAAGGAACACTCTCCCTCAATCCCCAAGCTCCTTAGCACTGCACCAAAAGAAGTCAGAAGCGGAAAGACGACAGGATTACCCTTCCATGTTCACATGTCTGTCTATTTATATATCTTAAGTATAATTAATAAAAGCAAACTGTTAGAGCAATTAACAAGAAACTTGTCAAAAATAGGAAGTAAAAATGTCAGCACAAGTGAGACAGTTTACTTCATATAAGTGAAATTCTTTGAATGTGCCGTAGTGCAAATTTCTGTGCTTCTCATGCTTCTACGAAAAAGCAAAATGGTCAGAAAGCTTTTTATACCTGCTGCTGCTTAAAATCAGGTCTCTTTTTAATAAAATTATAAACAGTCACATATTTCATATATAGGATATAAGCTTTTTCTTCATCTCGGTCCAATCTGCTTTCTTCTGCTGCTTTGAAAATCTTAAGGGCACTCTGCACATAACTGAAATCAAGAAAAGAAGAGTAAATCCCACAATTGTTGACTTGTCCCCAGACATCTTTTAATTAAAAGATGCCATTTTAAATGTTTGCAGCCCCTGCCCGTATATTAAGCATTTGATTTTTATCATCTTAATATAAGGCTTTTACTAACATGAATTGCAATTATGCTCCTCTGAATGAAGTTTCTCCTTGCTATTTTGTTTTTCTGATCTTATTTAAAATCTTCCATATCTAAATAGCATGCTGAGACATAGAAAAAAGTACTTTTCTGGAAATATTTTTGAGGAAAAACTAATAGTAAAACGAAATGACTGATAGTCTAGAAGTGCTAGAGGCAAAATATTTTCTATTCATGCATCTGCAGAGCTTTTAATTTTTAAGAACTTGTATTTATGCAGCCTTTTCTCAAAGTACTCAAGCTGTCATGGGCACCATGCTCAAGAAGTTACTTTCTGCAGGCAGTAAGCATATCTGATGTGATAGCTTGTCATACATAAGGCTATCAAAGATTTGATATTTAACTAATAACTGAGAAAACTTAGATCTAAAACATAATCATCTGAGCTGGAATCTGCTCAGAAGAGTAACACTAACACTTCTAATACTAGGAGTTTCTCTAGAGGGAAACTCATTAATGTTTAGTACATAACGAAACAATTTAACTTATGCAGGTATCAAAATTCTATTTACTATATGCTACTAAGACTTGTATTTTGAATAGTTGATCCCAAATCAATGAAAATATACACCTCTTTGTACTGGTCTTTTCAGGTTTTATTTCTGTCTTCTTGTTGAGATCTTTCAGTGAAGTACAGAGATAGAGCTCCTTAGGTACAGACGCCACAGCAGGCATGTTAATGTTGTTACTTATGTCCCTTCTAGGATGGTACAGCTTCTCAGAAGTCTCTATCAATATTGTTCTGAAAACAAAACAAAAACACATCAGGTAGGAAGAGCCCAAGTACAGTCCATCAATGGCTTTTGAAACAGTTACTATCTTTACCAGTATGGTGTTATGACCTAACCTGTCTCATGTTACATGAATCAACACTAATATAAAGCAATTTGGAACTGACACAGTTAAAGATTACCTTTAGAATTGTTCATTATACTTTAAATTAAGTGCATGTAATCAGTCAGAGCTCTAGTACCTGATCTGTTCCGCTACAGTCTGGTGAAGCGTTACTTAGTGCTACAGCATCAGCACCTGTCCTTGGTGTTAAGCTATGTCACAACCATTAAAAACAGGATTACTTACATAATAGGCAGCTATTTAAAAGGAAAAAAAAAAAATCACTCTGGGCAATTATTTGTAGCATAGAGCATACATAGGAAAATTATTCCAGGAGTCAAAAACAAACAAACAAAAACTTCTTTGCCAAAAGAGGAATAATGCTTAAACGGCAACTATTTAAGTGTTAATCATCTGTAAGAGTCTTCTTTTATCAGTTGTATGTATTATTGATGCAAGCAGATTAGGAAGATTAATTTATACAGTTAATTATTCAGTCAAAGGGATAGTTATTTGAAACAACTCCGGGTAATTTGTCAAGAATGTGAGCATTATGTTTCAAATACCAGAATAATATGGAAAACAAGGAGAAAAGAAATGTTGACTTAATGATGATCAAATGAATCTATCCAGAAAATACTTACTCAACTTTATAGTTGAACAAATATTACAAAAAAATCAACTGACCTATTTGCACTGTGAAATCAGTGCTGGATAATTATTTTACAACTAGCTTAGCACCAGCCTCTGCAAATAGATGCTATGCCCGTGGAAAGGTGGCTTGTTATATCTTGGTAAGACACGAGCTGAGGAAAGGAACATTGAAGCAGACTATTAAAAAAGGCCATGAAGAGAATGTTAAAGGAACTGCTAAAAGCTGCTTGGAAATGTCTTCGAAGTGCTGCAGGTCCTAAGCTCCCAGGTACAGTTGTCTTTCTGCTGCCACTTGGAAGCATTCCCCACGAAGCTGTTACATGGTTAAGTAGAGTTTGGCCAGAAAGGACTGTTACATCATCTCATCTGACATTCTGCATGCAGCAGTCCATTAAGTCTCTTACAGATAGTCTAACTAAAACCTTTGCATATATTATACAGTGAGCTATTTTAGCCCTTGGGGATGGCAGGGGAAGAGCTCTGCTCAACCAGTGAGACATTCAGGTCCTAGCAAACCCAAATAAATTCAGGGCAACTAATTAGAAGAAAGATGCTCAAATAATCCTAACGAATACATTTCTTAGGTGCCAGAAGGAAGCAAAAATCCACATAGCCTTTGACATGATGAAGGCAGGGCTCTTCCCTCACACCCCAAGGTGAGGATCAGCACAACAGTGTGACCAAAACCACCGTCAGCCAGTAACCTCAGAGTGAAGTTTTGCACAACTGAACTGATCTGTAGCTGACTGTTACTGAACGAGGAGGTTCTGATTTCCCTCCGTCTTTCTCATACTGGCCTGGAACTTATCTGGTCTCTTCTTGAGCCAGTGCAGCTTGCTGAAGAGGCAGAAAAGCTCTGCAGCTTGTGCAAGGACAGCAGTCAGCATGCACAGCCAGGAATGAGCAGCTGAGATGGGAATGGGATGCCTTCCTGCGGCTCAGTGCTGGTACCAGCCAGCTAACTTACTGCCTTAACACAGATGCTATGCTTGCTAATTTTCTAATTACATAGCATCTGTGCAAACTTGGTAAGCTTGAAAAAACATAAATCCTTCCTATGAGATTGCATTCCAGATAATTCTAGAAAGTATATCATAAATTCCTCAAATACTAATTTTAGTACATAAAATTAAGAATTTATCCCATACCTCAGGCATCTTAAGAACATTTTCCCCTCCCTATAAAGTGCCTTATCACAGAATCACAGAATTTCTAGGTTGGAAGAGACCTCAAGATCATCAAGTCCAACCTCTGACCTAACACTAACAAGTCCTCCACTAAACCATATCACTAAGAAATGTTCAACTTCAACTTTCAGGAGATATTTAGTTGCTGAAAACAAGGCAGAAAACTAATTAAAGCTTTCCATTCAGTAGAAACAAAACAAAACAGACACACATCCCTCCACAAAGTAAAGGACCTTCCCAATTTAAAAGCTTTTTTGCCTTAGACATACTTTTTTTTTTTAAGTAGTCTTACAGAATTACAGGAAAAGGCCTCAATCTTACGAAGACTTTAACATTGCTTGTCTAATCATACCTTCAGAACACGTCTTTAACTGGATCTTTATTTCTCCTTAGAACTGTAAATAGACTTTTTCTTTGAAGCTTTAAGTCCTTTCTAAATTTATCTTCAATGTTTGCTCTGTTATGTAATCAGTATTTTCTTAATCTTAAGTGGCAGCATTTGGTTGAGTTCAGACAGAATATTGTAACTAAATATGTATTATGAAAAAGATGCAAATATAACATTACTGCGTCTGTGTATGAGGAAAAAATAAGATGATGTGGAAGAGCAGCCATGTAAGGAAAGGCAGAAGATGCTAGTAAACTTTCATGTGCTGCTGACACACCTTGATAAAGGCAGTTCTGGGACCTCATCTCTAAAAACGGGGAACTATTGGATAAAAGACAAATCTCAGATCTGGCTAAGAACAGAAATGGACTTTCCATGTTTTTCTGCTACAGTTTGTAAGAGTCATAATTAAATGATTTTAAATTGCCAAACACAACACTAAACTTACTTTTATTTTCTGATCTGAAGAAATTTCTATGCCCTTTCCAAAACATGAGCTGCTAACCAAGGTAGCTGATGAATGAGGCATTACTGTTTGACCTCCCAGAGCACTGCAATCCATACAACATGCTGCAGTAAAATGAGCAAGGATAGATTAGAAATAACATTTTCTGGAAAAAAAAAAAAATCAAATTCTCAATAGCCTACTTAATGGAATTACATGTAGCATATATCAAAAGTTAATATAAGGTTTCAATTGAGGTCCCTAATGACCAAACCTAAATGAACACAGCTCTGTGTCACCAAAACAGAGGCAGCCAGAGTTAGTGGCTAACAAAGGCTTTCCTACTCACAATAACGCTGTTCCAAATGAAAGTTTGTGCTAGTCAGTCTAAAAAACCAAGCAGCAATAAGAAAACATCAACCAACCGTTTCTAGGAACATCTGTGTCTCTTACTGTTTTAGAACTGGGAAAAATAACGAACAGAGCTAGTGGAAGAGCCCTCTTGATTACATTCAACTTACAAATGGTAACGTATGTTAAAACTCAGAATGTGACGTACAGTAACAACTTCCAAGTCTCTCCCTGTCAGCTAGTAAAAGGGGAAGAAGGAAACAAGCTCTTAGCAGTTTTTTGAAGCAGAAATAACATGCAAGTTTCCTGCATTTTGGGTATGGTATTTCTAAAATACTGAGTGATAAAAACTTTAGTTTGAGGTGAAGTGCTGGGTATTCAACCCATTCTCGGGCAGACTCTGCTTCCTTTGGTGGCATGCTAGAAAGGCTTGGCTTGCTGAGCAGTTACTAGATGAAGTATTGCTACCCGCGTAGAGAGAAGCTGATCTATGACCAGACACTTGTAAGTTATACAATACACGAATTAAAATACAGATATACAGACAATGGGTACCATACTTCTTTGTTAGTCTTCTTCTCTTCCACAAACAAAAAGCAAGGAAGGGACAAGAACATCTGAAAACAGTAATGGACGTCAGCTTATCCAAGAGCAGCACAACTTCCCTCTCATGCCCCCAAGTTCTCCTACCTACTCTCCTCCTAAAAAGCAGTAAATCGTTGTGTCACTGTATGTTCTGAGCCAGTCTATGTGCACGGATTGTTTGCTGCCCTGTGGCATGCATCCACACCACTTTCACCAAGTCTCCTAGTGCTGGTTTGGAATCCCCCCTCCTCCTCCTCCTCACCTCCTATCTCATCTCCAGACATTTCTTAAAGAACTGCAGCTTGCTGCCTTTTTACTGCTGGTAGCCTTACAGAAACAGAGGCAAGAGAACCAGTTCATGAAACAAACTGTATTTGAGACAAGAAATGCTTGAGAAGGAATGGCCAGAGAATGCAATTATCTTCCTAAATCCAAACAAATTGCTCACTTTTTGTACACGGGCATGTTTCCTCTCTTTTATTGCATTTATTCCTCCTTGAGTATAGGATTCCATAGCAACCTAGCCCTAACTGCTTTTACTTCTTAGACTTTCCAAAAAAATCTCCAACTATTCTGCTTTATCAATTCCTTTTACCCCCTATGGTTCTCATTTTTTTAGCATACTATCATCAGATGCTCTATTCAAATTATTGTTTTGAAGTGAAATGCTGCTGTTCTTCACTAAAAACTCATTTCCATTTACAAACAAATTTATCTTGGCCTGATAGTTTGCATTTGCTGTCTCAGTTGAATAAGGTTCTTACTTTTTTTTTTTCCTCCTTTGAGAGGGCGTTGGGAAGAATTTATGATTTCACAACCATAATCTGCTCTGATATACATAAATAACCAGATGATTCTGAACCTAACTTTTTGCAGATACTGAATTCCCTAACTGACCTGGCCTCTGTACTTCCTCCAGCAAAAGAAGTTGCACAAATAAAGACATTCGGGAGGAGTTAGCATACAGCAGTGCAACACATGGAGATAGACCAGATGCTGCAAGTCTGTTCTAGGTCTCTATTTGTTTCCACCAGAAGAGCTGCAATGAACTGCACTTTCTTATCAGGACTGCATCAATTTTACCAAAATACACTCTTGCTGGTCCAGTCTGCACTGAGTAGATTATGCTCATTTTTGCCCAGTATTTCCTTTCCCTCCAGACTTAAAATCACCACAATGGCAATGCTGAGGTACCGGAGAACCCTTCAGATTATGTGCATCTTCCTCACATCTGTAAGGAGGAGAGAATGTCTCCTTCCCCAACAAGAGAATGAAACTGGATCATGAAACCATGAAAAAAGCAAGAGATTGCAGAAGCTACGATACCTTATTAGTCAACTCTGTGAGGAAGAGTAAACAACCTATGTTCCTTAAAACTGAAGATCAGACACAAATTCACCCTGCCAGGTGAAACATTGTCTCAGCATTCAGGAAAGCTGAAAACAAGGACAACATCCTAAAAACACATGGGAAATCATGTTCAGGTATCTATGGACATTTAAAATACTTAAAAGGAATAGTTTTACACTGACAGGGAAGCATACCTGTTGGTAACAGGTTTTTCTACATCTAATTGCCGTGCCTGTTTCGCTGAGGATGTGAGTAAGCTCTAAGTGGAATGACAACAGCAAGAACGACGCACAGAAGCAGTTATATTGCAAGCAGCATACCCTAACGCGGGCTGAAAAAAGTTAGCGTGCTAAGTGCAGCGCATCATCAATTCAGGTGCGTAATAAAGTATTATTCACCTATTTATTTTTCTCTCTGAGATTTGAGCAAATGAGCAATGGGTTTCTCACGAGCATCATTTATCAGTGAGTTTTACCGCTTGCACTTTGTGCGCAAGAATTACTTTTGTTAAGACTGTCAGTATTAATCTGGAAACGTGGTATTTTCACGGGGCTGAAACACCCAACTCAGTACATTTAGCTGTGAGGCCTCCAGCTCTGTCAGGCTCTGTTAATACCACAGGCCTCAGTGCTGCAACCTGCTGTGCACAAGCAGCCCGTGCCCATCAGGGCCTGGCCAGGCAGGCCGCTGTGCTTCCCCCGGGCACTCTGAGCTCTGTCATTTTCTGGGTATCAGGGGGCCAGGCACCCAGGGTGCACCGCAGGGTCTGCCCGGCCACGTACCACACTCAGACCCCGCGCAGGAGCCTCTCCTTTCACCTCAATCCCTCCTGACAGCTCCCTCACACGGCAGTGTAGCTGACGGTGATGGCGTTCGGGGGCAAGACGCTACGAAGTTAACTTAAAACCTAAGTTTTGGGGGGTTTTTACGCAGTTAGCTCGGCCGCCATTCGGCCTAAGCAAAAAGCCAACCAGCTTCACCTCTTAATTAGGCAATTAACGCCCTCCAAGCGCACGGGCACGGCCGGGGGGGCGCCAGGCAGAGCCCCCGGCCCGGCGGTGCCGCCCCCCGGCCATTTTCCTGCGGCCGTCCCCGGGCTCCGGCCGGGCTTCCCTCAGCCCCGTCCCCGCCTCGCCCGGCCCGGCCCGGCCGCCCAAGGTCACGGCGGCGGGGCGGAGAGCTGCCGGTACCCTCCGGGTCGAGCCCGGGCCCGGGCCCCTTGACCGCAGCGCGGCCCCGCTCCCCCCCTCCCCCCCGCAGCCCCTCGGGGGCCGCCTCCCAGCCGGGTTCCGAGCGGCAGGGCCGGGCCCGAGGCTTCCCGTCCAAGGGCGCCCGCCCCCCTCCCACCGTGTCCGGGGCAGGGCGTGAGGCGAGCCCGGGGCAGGCCTCGCTCCGCCGCCGGTCCCCACTCACCGCCGCGGGGTCTCGCTGCCTCAGCCCGCCGGCCCGGGGCAGGCCCATGTCCGAGCGGGGCTGCCGCGGAGACCTCGCTACGCTGCCATAGCTGCTGGGGCGGAACTCGGCGGCCCTACCCGGCTCAGCTCCCTCCCCGCCGGGCCTCTCCGCTCCCCCGCGGGGGCGGGGACTCTCGGCGCTCCTATCGGGGCCGCGGGGCCGGGCCCGGTGCGGGGGAAGCTGCGGGAGAGCCGGGCCCGGCTGCGGGGGGCTCCGCGCCCGCCTGGCCTCGCTTCGTCCTTGCCCAGGGCAAAGCAACGGGCTTGGGGGGAGCTCTCAGATCTTGTGGGGCATCCAGCGTCTGTGGGGGGTGTAAAACCGGCCCTCCTGCTGCTGTGTGGGGAGGCCTTGCCTTACAAAAATAACTTTATTTATTTATTTATTATTTCCCCCCCCCCCCCCAAAGAAAACTGCATCGACTGGGGATGTTGTAAGTTCAGCTCGCATTTTTTTTTTCTGTTGTCGGTAGTGTTTGTGCAGCTTGTGGTGTTGCTTAAAGCGTACCTCAGGGGTGGCAGGCACATGCGGACAGTGCTGGTACAGTCACGCTGGGGTTTAAAACGCGAGGAGAGGGTGGTGCTGAGCTGTTTCCGAGCAGTCGTGTGACTGGGACGTTGCACAAACAGATGCTCTGTCCTGCCACAGTCCCTTGCCCCTGATTCAAGGTGGGGGAATGCAGTGATACTTTGATCTACAGCACCATTTTGCCAGTGGAATTGTGAACCGGAACTGTTTTGCTTGGCCATTTTTTAGTCCACCTTGTAGACTGGAGAAACTGGTCCTTAACCAGCATTTTGCACCATGAAGTTTCGTGCCTCAGTATGCCTTTTAATACCGGGTGCTTGAAGCGTACTTAGGTTCAGGTCAGTTGACTTCCCGCAGAGACTGACAATGTAATTGTGTGAAGTGTGTGTCTATGTTACCTACAACAACCAGGCTTGTAAGCACTATAAATGTGATTTTAAACATCCATGGATAACTAATTAGGCTCTGATACTATGGCGACATCTGTGCACCCGCTCAGCACTGCTGCCACGCCCAGAGCAGCGCTACCCACCCAGGCTGTTTCTCTTCCTCAGCAGTGGAGGTGGTTAGAGCGGCTGGAGGTGAGCTGTACTCTTCCCTGCAACGTGCTTGAGTAGAACAGGGCCAGGCGAGGGTTGAGTTTGTCTTGGAGATTCTGTACTTCTAGAGATGGCAAAGGAAGAAAGTCCTAACACCATTTCATGCTGCAGGATCCTCTGTAGAATGAAGCCTGCAAAAGACAGATCCTCTTCTTCAGGAAAATCAGGTGGCTGTGACACAGGGAGGTCATGAGGGTGCAAAGAATGGGAAGGACGCCTGTTGAGTGTCACACCAGCTGTTGTGCAAAATGGACTCCCAGTCTGTTTTGTCCAAAGGGACCTTTTACTGCTTCTCTTACACAGAGAAATAGTTAGAAAATCCTTTGGTCTTACTTGTACCATACATACAAGCTGTATATAACCAACCATATATAGAATGGGGAGGCCTGCCTGTACAATTAGTTTTACCATATTCAAAAACTTGTTAAAACATGCTAATGTGTTGATTGGGTTATAACATGCTGTGGTGTTGCCTTAAGTTAAAACACTTTTTCCTATCGTCATATGTTACCGTACGGAAGTATTGAATAAATGAAAAAAAAAAAAGAATTTAAACAGTAGAAATCTGTGTTTTTTAATGTATTAAGAGTATTTACTTACACGCTAACGATTACTATCTTGTACAGCTGGGTAAAACAAAGTGGAAGAAATGACATACTTTACAGATGTGAATTGTGTTTTGACTTGCTTATATGAGACATCTTTCTCTTAAGTGCAGCTTTGGTGAATTCTGTCTAATGAAAAATTAGAAGTATTCTAAAGAATGAAGTTGTGATCATGCTACTGAAAACTCATACAAAGTGCAAATGGAACCCTGACTAAAAGAAGACTGGATTCGTCACCTCTGTAAAAGATTGTCAGTAGTACATTTTTTGTAGTACTGCTGCTAATATCACTGAGAATTCCCACTCCTTGGTGCAGGCCTGTAAGGACATTGCGCAGAAAAAGTTACAATCTACTGCTACTGTGTAAATGACAACCAATGATATGGCAAGATAAATACTTCCCGAGACACAAAATACTTATCAGCACTGGAAAAGAAATGTGATGAAAGCTGGATTTCAGGTTTCTACGCCCATGACAAATGCGACAGCCCGCCAAAGTGTCTCGGCTCGTTCTCTAGTGCCCCCTTTTGGCTGCCAGTCCTAGGAAAATAACTAAACTGGCCCGGATGACATTGTCAACAGGTCCTTGAGTGAGGTGACAACATTTAAAGAAGGATTAACTGAGTTTCCAGAAAGCACAGGGAGAATTCATGCCTGTAGCCTAACTCAAAAAGTGCTGCAAAAAGCAGGCAGAGCCTGGCCGACTGTGACAGTGCAAGCACTGCCAATGCGCTGGCCAGGTGGGTTGCTGCCTCCTCATATAGGAAAGGGGTTTTCTCTCTTGTACCGAGCAGATCTGCTTTGGTAGCGCCTTGAGGATCCAGGGCTGGGGTATCTATGAGGCGATGTTTGCTCTTCAGAAGCTGATTTGCGCTTTCTCCAAAGCTGTGTTAGATAACTCAAGAGCAGAAAATAATGGGTTTGTAAAGACTGATACAAATATGCATCTGAGGAAAAGTATCTAGAAGGTATAGTTATCTCCAAAAATAACAAGGAGAGTTTTATGACCAACAGCCTTTGGCTGAAGGATATAGATTATGGGACCTCCACTTTACCACGGTCCGCAGTTTTTGCACTGTAATAGTTTTGGTGAGAACCTGAGCATGACCACTTTCCAACAGGGTTACAACCAACCAGCCTAGAGGCGTTTCAGGGCCCACAACACCATCTCCACAGCGAGCCTGGGGCTCGAAGCCAGATCAGCCTGACAGACCAGCGAGACCTCAGGCTCATTCCAGAACTATCACCCTCCCTCCCCGACCCCCACACCCTCCCGAAGCCCCCCTTCTCCCCAAGAAGGGGCCGCAAGGCGGTACACCCCCCCCGCCCCCTTCACGCCCGCGGCGGGCCGGGAACATGGCGGCTCCGTCCCGCCGCCCGCTTCCCCCCGCCTTTCCCCGCGCCGCCGCGCATGCGCGGCAGGCGGCACCGAGGCCGTATCCCTCCGCCGCTTCCCCCCCACCCCCCCCGCTCCGGCCGGGGCGGCGGTGCCGGTGTCAAAGCCCCCTGCCCGCCGCAGGGTAAGTGCCGCGCGCCCCTCCCGCCGCTGCCCGCTCGGTCGCCTCACGGTGAGGCGCGGCCCGGCGGCGGCGGCGAAGGAAGAACGGGGGGGGGGGGCGCAGCGCGGAGAGCCGCAGCGCCCCTCCCCGCCCCTCAGCCGCCGTGTCCTTCCGCCGGGCAGCAGCGGGGACTTTTGTGTGGGGCTTTTGGGCGCCGATGAGCGGCGGCCTCCGGCGGCCCCGGGTGTTGCGGCGGCGGCGGCGGCGGGCGGGCCGGCGGCACGGTAAGGCTCCCGGGCCCCGCGGCCCGTTTGATCCCCAACACCCTTCTCCCGGGCCGGCTCAAGCTTTTCCAGGTCAGTCAGCGCCTTTGTATAGGGCCCCGTTACCGGATGTGGAAGTCGATCTCTTCGCTGGTAAAAAATAATTCCACTTCCCCCGGAACCCGGCGCCGCGGCTCCCTCCGCAGCGCCCAGCCCAGCCAGGATTTCCTGTCGGGGAGAGCGGGCGGGCCGGCCGGCCTTCCGGGGACCCCGCCGCGAGGGGGGCGCGGGCGGCGGCCGGGCCCCGGGACCGGGCCTCGGCCTCGGCCTCGGCCTCGGCGGGCCGCGGCCTGCTGCGGGGCAGGGGCCGCCGTGGGGCCGGGGCCGCCCGCTCTGAGGCTGTGCGAGGGCGCTCGGCTCGGCCCCGTGGGCCCGGGTCTCGCGTGGGGCTCGGGCCCGGCCTGGCGGGGGGCCCCCGAGCTGCGTGGGAGGGCTGGGAGCTGGAGGGGGGCCCGGGGGGAGCTGCTCCGCCAGCCCCTTGGGAAGGTGGTGGAGGGGGAGCGTGGGGTGAGGCTCGCTGCTGTGGGGGCTCGCATGCTCTGCCCCGGTGAATCCCAATGGTTCCCATTGAGCAGCCTGTCCGATGGGACGCTGCGGGAAGGTGCCGTAGGAAGGCTTCCTCATTCACAGCCCTTAACTTCAAGCGGTTGCGTGGCGGCCTTCAGCCTGTTTGCTAAGGTGGATTTTATTTAACGGCGAACGCCGCATGGTAAATGTGCTGATAGTTACGAGCGCAGCCATTGGAGGCCTTTGGCGTAGTGGTTTTTTTGAACTGTCGGTGGGTTTTGAAGCGCTTATAAGGTTAAAAGCTGTTTGGATGAGGTGCCTGTAGGGGTGCAGAAATCTGCTATGAGTAAGGTTAAGAACATACGTGGCAGACCCTAATGATCGCTGTACGCTAGATTTTGACTCTTCCCCCCCGACCGACATTCTTTCCTAAAAGCAGTTTATTTGCAAGCTCTCTCCTTCAGCCCATTTGTAAGAAATTGTCAAGGAAGACTCTTCACAATAAAAACGTTGCTTTAATTAAAGAGACTGGTGATTTTTGTTTCAAAGTATTTTTTTTCCAGTTTTGGTGAATGAGACAGATTTTGAGGTTGTGTTATGGTTCACAGGCAACATCACAACCCCGTACATTCTGCATGTCAATCATACCTGCTGTAATGTAACCTCCTTGTTATCCAGTGCCAAATCTATCTGTGAAAGCTTTGTAGTTTGTTGGCAGTGCCAACCCAAATCTTGGTGCCAGTGGTTCACCCTTGTTGCATAATAATCTTTTTTTGATGCTGCAGATGTTGCGTTTTGCCAATAGGGGCCAAATCTTTGCTCTTCCTTTTAAGAGCAGGACTTTTTAAAAAACCATTTGCATTGTTTAATGGAATTACATTGATTATTGGGAACTAATTTAATTTAATTTATGAATGTAATTGGAATATGGACCTGCATAAATACAGGCTTGAATACATTCACCACTAAGTTATCCAGCTACATGTTTGCTCTTCTGATCTGTTCTCTTAAATATTTTTCATCTCATGCTGACATGGTCCAACATGAAGGGGATGTTTCTGTTTAAACAAG